GGGGGAGTGGGCGCCCCCCCCCCCCCCCCCCCATATGTTGGATCTCAGTTGCTGGCTCTGTCCTGATCCTCCCTTTGTGTGTCTTTGTGTTGCAGAAGATGTTCGGCGTTTGCATTCACCCGCAGTACGGTGGGTGGTTCGCCATCCGCGCTGTTCTGGTGTTCACCGACGTTCGGGCCCCCGGCTTGGAGCAGGCTGTGCCCATAGACTGTGTCCCCAGCCGGGAGGACCGGATCCGCCTGCTGGAGAACTTCAACTTTAACTGGCGGGATGGGAAGTACCGGGATGTGCTGCCGGCGGAGGAGAAGTACTCCGAGGAGCAGGCGCTTTACTTCTCTACGCCACCGGCCGAGCGGATGAAGCTGCTGGAACTGTGGGGTCACCAGCCCCCCAGCCCACCCTGCTGAACCTTCAAAGGGTTAAAGGCCAGCTCCACCCAAAACTTATATTACCTTTTTTTGCCTACTTGGGACAAGCTGAAATCACTTGGGGTGGGCCACCGGTGACACCTCGACTCCAGAACTTTCCCCCTACCACCCAACTGCGTTACCCAATACGATGGCGGTGTCACTCTCTCCATATTCCTGGATAAAGAAATCATTGTGGAGTTTAAAGTGACACCCCCATCCTGGCGTCCCGGGAAGGGGAGGAGTCACATCCAGTGTAAGGAAAGAACACCCACACAAAGCTGCATTGGGACCTTTTACTGTGACCTTTGACCCTTCCAGTGTCTCGTCTTGCCCCAGCGGGAGGCTGACGGTTGGAGACTTCCAGCAATTTACCCGCTAAGTGCTCTCAATGCTGCTACTACTTTATTTGGAAGATTTTGTGTTTATTTTGGATATTTATTGTCGGTGATGATCCGGAAGGAGGAGGAAATCTTCCCGATGAATGTTATGATTTCATTCTATTTATAGCCGACATTTGTACACAGAGGAAGCTGTGTTTGTGTCTTTTTTTTTTTTAAAGCAATCTTTATTTATAAATAACAGACGACATGAAGACTCCGTACGGGTACGACGTTCTCTATCAGAGATGAATAAATCACATTGTAGATCTTCCTGCGTGTTGTGTGACATTGCGTTACAATCTTGGGGGTCTGATGCTGATAGAGGGGCCCCCGGGAGACCTCACATGAAGGGTCCGATCACACGGCGGTATCTGCGTATTGCGCACAGTAACGTACAATGTATCGCACGCTCGGTGTGCTGGTGCGTGGCCTTAAATTCATTCTGAACGGCGCTCCGAACGCACTGTACTGCAATACCGCGTGACGCTTTGCGTGTGGGGGGGGGGGAAATTGATGCATGTAATGGCAATGCAGCGCCCCTAGAATGCAGTACATGGGGATGGCGTACGCTAAACGTACGGATGCTACAGCATAACGCAGTGTGAAGGGACCCTTGGGGGCCCGATTTATAAAGCGGAGGGGCGGCCATACTACAATGACACCGATAATACACATTGATAAAGCTCAGCGAGTCCCGAAGTGAGCACAGCGCAATCATTCTGAATGGAAAAAGAAAAGCCTTGGAGCAGAGCCTGGTCATGTGACCTGTCAGTCACATGATCGACTCCTAAAATCACGGAGTTCATTCTGCTGCGTTAGGCCTGACTCCACTGTATGCAGACAGGTTCGGCGCGCGGCAGCACGCATTTACCGGCCCATTTATAAAATGTAGGCGTGAGGTGTGTGTAGCAGGAGGACCCAAAGATGAGCTCATCAGAATTCTGCTTCTCCATTCATTGTCCAATCACAGGCTGGGGGAGGGAGAAGACCTGCAGAAGAGAAAACTCAGGGTCTCCCGCCCTGATCAGACAGGGCTGTGCTGTGTGGCTGTGCTGTGTAAATCTCAGAACTGGATGGAGCGAAATACAAATCAATTGACAGCTAAAACTTCACCCACATACACTATATTGCCGGAAGTATTGGGACGCCTTTACACGCACATTTAATGGCCCCCCAGTCTTAGTCCGTAGGGTTCAGTGTTGGGTTGGCTCCGCCCTTTGCCGATATAACAGCTCCGCCTCTTCTGGGAAGGCGTCCACAAGGTTTAGGGGTGTGTTAATCCAATGATTTGGAGGGGGAGGGGCCTAATACTTTTGGTATTATAGTGTATGTTTCTCATCCGTATAGTTAGAGATTTGGTTGCAGTTAGTGAGTCTAGCCCCCGTCTACTGCCCCCCGCGCCTCCACTGCCCCCACTGCCCTCTCTTGGGTCCAGTGCTGACAATCAACATGCTGATAAGAGGAGAGAGCAGAGTGACAGATGAGCCTATCAGTCTGCTGCTTCTCCTTCACTGACCATTCATGGGATTAGCTGAAGGGGTTAACTGAAAATGGTTGTGCGGTCACATGACACGTCACATGCTGTACACTAGGAGCAGGAAACTGCACTGCAGCTGTTCTGGAACTACAAATCCCATGAGGCATTGCAAGACTTCGACAGCCACAGGCATGACTCCATGAGACAGATGCATGCTGGGATTTGTAGTTACGGCACAGCTGAGGTTGCCCACACATGATATATATAGACAAATATCCCGTCCAGTGTGACCCCGGATATTGTTACCTTCTCCCTGTGTGTCCATGTCACATTCACTTCCTCTGCTGGAAGTCTGTTCCTGGCATCTACTACTCCTTCAGTCATATAATACTTCCTGAGGTCAGTTCTGATCTTTCCTCTCCTCATCTGCATCCTCCATGTGTATAAAGGGTTCAGTCATGTCCATCCTTCCCCTCCTTTCCTCCAGACTGTACACATGCAGCTCCTGCAGTCTCTCGGATACATTGTATCTCTCTGATCTCTCATCAGCATTTCTATTGGTTGTTCTCAGACAGGAAGTGAAGGAATGAGGCGGAACCTTCTGACATCACACAGGAACCACTCAGGCACCAGTACGTAGTCCTATAGAGAGAGAGAGAGAGAGAGAGGACCCCTGAGAGCATGCATAGACCGGAGCGCAGCTGAACATCAGGAGCCGAGGGTGAGATTGTATACAGAGACCCCAATACACTGCAAACATTGATCGGTGATCAGTCTCCATGTGAGCGATCGCAAACATTGATCAGTCTCCATGTGAGCGATCGCAAACATTGATCAGTCTACATGTGAGCGATCGCAAACATTGATCGGTGATCAGTCTGCATGTGAGCGATCACAAACATTGATCAGTCTGCATGTGAGCGATCGCAAACATTGATCAGTCTACATGTGAGCGATCGCAAACATTGATCAGTCTGCATGTGAGCGATCGCAAACATTGATCGGTGATCAGTCTGCATGTGAGCGATCACAAACATTGATCAGTCTGCATGTGAGCGATCGCAAACATTGATCAGTCTACATGTGAGCGATCGCAAACATTGATCAGTCTACATGTGAGCGATCGCAAACATTGATCAGTCTACATGTGAGCGATCGCAAACATTGATCAGTCCACATGTGAGCGATCGCAAACATTGATCATTGATCAGTCTCCATGTGAGCGATCACAAACATTGATCGGTGATCAGTCTGCATGTGAGCGATCGCAAACATTGATCAGTCCACATGTGAGCGATCGCAAACATTGATCAGTCTCCATGTGAGCGATCACAAACATTGATCAGTCCACATGTGAGCGATCGCAAACATTGATCAGTCCACATGTGAGCGATCACAAACATTGATCAGTCTGCATGTGAGCGATCACAAACATTGATCAGTCCACATGTGAGCGATCACAAACATTGATCAGTCTGCATGTGAGCGGGGTGACAACTTACACTACTCAGACTGATAAATGATCCTGAGGTCTGACTCCAGCCCCTCCTATACTGGACAACGAACACTATTGATTTCCATAGCATCCTCCCTATTGGGGCCCCCTCCTATCTCGGGGCCCGGAGGAGCCGCATGGGCTGCTATGGTTTTTGTTACACCTTTGATGGACACAGTATATTGTGGATGGAAAACCTGCACTGGTTGGTTCTCTGTGACGTGGAGAAGATTGGAAGGTGGTGTATGTCAGACCGAAAACTTTTAG